AAAATAAAATAAAATAAAATAAAATAAAATAAAATAAAATAAAATAAAATAAAATAAAATAAAATAAGAATAAAGAAGAGTGAAGAGATTTTGCAAAATCTCTACTGTCCACAGCAGAGTAATTATAATGAATTATCTGAAGAACAGAATCACAGAATGGGTAAGGTTGGAAAGAACATCTAAGGTTGGAGACTACAGAGCATTCCCAGAGAGCCTGTTTTAGTATTTTTCCATAAATAAGTTGTTTGTTTTTTTTTTTTTTTTCTTATGTTTAAGAGGAATTTCTCCCACTTCTGTTTGTGCTCATTGACTCTTGACCTGTCCTTGGGCACCACTAAGAAGAGCCTGGATCCATCTTCTTTACCTCAGGTATGTTTATCAGGTATTTATACACATGGAGAAGAAGTTCTTGAGCCTTTTCTTCTTCAGTCTGAACAATCCAGCTCTCTCAGCTTCACTGTGTAGCTTACATTATTTCAAGTTCTTCAGCATCTTCACTGTCTTAAGCTGGACGTCTTCCAGTATATACCTGTCCCTCTTGCACTGCAGGATCCAGAACTGAACTCAGTGCTCCACCTGTGGGCTTCCCAATGCTGAGCAGCAAAAAATCACACCCTCAACCTGCAGGCAATTGCTCCTGGTGCTATTGACCTTTCTCAATGCCAGGTCATGTTGCTGGCTCATTGTTCACCAAGACCCACAGAGCTTTTACTGCAAAGTACAACTATCTGTTATAGTGACCACTCATCCAACTTCTTTGTTGTCTGCAAACTTGCAGAGATCACCTGAGTCATTAATGAAGATTTTAAACAATATTGGACTCAATATGGATTCCTAAGGGACACCAGTTGTTACTGACTTCCAGGTAGACTCTGTGACCCAGATCACAAAACTTGGAGCCCAGCATTTCACCCAGTTTTGAATACACCTGTCTATCTACTATCTAATCTATTGTTGATCAGTTTTTCTATGAGGATGCTATAGGACAAAGCTTCAAAGACCTTATTAAAATAAAGCTAAGCAATACCCACTGTTCTCTCTCACCAAGCTTGTCAGTTCACTACAGAAGGCTATTATGTGGGTCTGCATTTTCTTTAGTCTTGATTTTGTTGTGCATCTACATGTAGAAACTCTTCATGTTGTTCATGTTCATCTCCATATTCAATGCCAAATGGAACTTATGATCTTTTATACAATTTTCAGTGTATATTAACAAGACTTTTTAGAATTTGCATTGTTTTTTCTTATGCTTAGAATTCTTTTTCCCATTAAGGAGAACCCTATTCAGGGTTTTGTTTATTTTTTTGTTTTTAAACACATTTTATTAAACCTTATAACCTATAATAGCCATTAAGTATCTGTTATGAGCCAATTTGTCAATACATATCCGAGAACACAGAAAAAAAATTAAAGTATTACATAGAACACTTTTGGTCGTAACAGCAGCAGTAGTGGAAAAAAAGAAAGCCTGACAAATTTTTCCTCATGATCAAGGCTTTTTTAATGCATTTCTTACTGCCCAATATTCACAAATAGACATCAATTCTAAATTGATTTCAGCAAAGCTAATCCCTGCAATTGTGCACAGAGTGAAGTCCAAGTGTCCAAAATAAATGTCAGGACAAGAACTTGGTTTTATTCTTTCAGATCAGCTGAGACTGATGTAAGTAGCTCACGGAAACTACAGCCTTGCTTCTCACTGCAACCTCTCCTAATAGATACAAACAAAAGAGAAAGCTGATGAACAGTTTGACTAAGTCATTTGGTGCTGACTGAGGAATAAAGAACATAAACTTCTGAGATATTCTAACTGCTACTGTCACTTCTTAGCCTCAAAGAGTAAATGGTTAGGCCTCTTACACACTGCTCAGCACTGCAGAGAGGAACTGTGGCCCCTATCACAGGGAAAACATGGAGCTGTTGGAGTGGCTCCGTAAAAGGGTCACGAAGGTGTTCAGGGAGCTGAAGTGTCTCTCCTACGAATAAAGTTTGAAGGAGCCAGGCTTCTTCAGGCTGGGAAAGAGAAGTCTTCAGGGAGAGCACATTGTGGATATTCAATGTTAAACATGGTGCTTACTGAAAAGATGAGGAGGGACTCTTTATGAAGGAGTACAGTGGCAGGACAGGGAGTAATGGTTTTAAACTAAAAATGGATAGATTTAGTATAAAAATTAGGAAGATTTTTTTAATTATGATGGTAGTGAGGCACTGAAACAGGTTTCCCAGGGATGTTATAGATGCCGATCACTGGAAGTGCCCAAGTGAAAATGATGCAGAGCCCTGTAATCCTGAATGAATAACTTGCTTTGCAGGCAGGTTTCATAGTCAGCTTCTTACTAAAGCTCAGAAGAAGCACAAGTCTTCTCATTTTCAAGGAAGGTCACCTTGATCTTGTATCTGAACACAAGACTGCTCAACCATGTGGTTAGCTAGTGGGCTCCCTAGCTATTCTGCAGTGTGAATAGTTTCTCCTCCTTTCCTCACTGGCCCTCTCTACGTGCTTAGACCAAACTACTCTCGTGTGGTTACCTGGAAAGTTCTGAAATATGAAAACTGAGAAGATGGCTGTGATCAGTTCTTTCTGGCAACTGTAGTCTTATCCTGCCTGTTTAGTTGTCACACTTGCATACTAAGAGCCTAACTTTGCAGTCCTTTTGCAAGCAAAACTCCCCATTGACTCTTATGTCTTTGTTTTAAAAAAATTACTGGATATGCAGAGCAGCAGTTCTGAACAAAGGAATTCTGCCATTTTTCTTTTAGTTTTCCTCTTCAGAAATGCCCTAAGGCAGTCATCTATTTCAGTCAATGGAAGGATGAAAATGTTCAATAAAAAAAAAAAAAAAAAAAAAAAAAAAAGTATTTTTTAGTAATAGACACATAAAAGACACCTAAACCCACTGATATTATTTTTGTCTACATTGAGGACTACATTTCTTCACAAATCATTGACCTTATTTTTAACTCTTTGTTTGCCAACTGTTTGCCTGAAGCAACTTTAGACAGTTAAGGAATCTGTGATTTTATAGGAACAGATACTTATGATCCCTTTGTTATACCAGTAGGGAAAAAAACATGTAGAATTTCAAGTTTATTTCTGTTTATAAAAGCTTCATTTCTCTCAGCATTTCTTTCAGTTAAGAAAGTAAAAGTCAAATTAAACAGAAATTACTATTTTATAAAAGAAATCCAACTTGATTTGTGCTACTTGTACATATTTACACAAATAGTTCAATAAAGTTAATCCTACTTAACCTCCGTGGTCATTTAAAATACAGTTTGCATCTTCCTATTTTTTCTTCAGAACTGATCCCAAAGTAGAGAAAAAAAGTCATGCAATCTCTCTTTTATATTTTCATTTCAGTTCATAGTTTCAGGCTTTAGAATATTTCTAGTCAGACCAACAAGCTAAAGAATTGCAGTGGAAACAATAGTGTAAGCTGGGTTGAAATTACAAGTAATAAAATCTCACAAGAATTTTTATGAAGGTTATATTTAAAAAAAAAGCCTAAAT